AGGTTGGCCCAGGATCGAACATTGTTTCGTTCTGCTGTGCATGGGGTCGCTATGAGTTGGTTCTGACTCGATGGCACCTGACGACGACGACAATATCTATATCTATATCTACACATACATACACACATATATATGTATGTATGTATATATTTATATACGTGTGTGTGTGTGTGTGTGTATATATATATATATTTAGTTGTTGTTAAGTGCCGTCGAGTCAGTTCTGATCCATAGCGATCTTATATAGGGTTTCCAAGGAGCAGCTGGTAAGCTTGAACCGGCAACCTTGTGGTTTGTGGTTAAAACTGACTTTGTAATCCAGTACATTATCCCACAGCGCCACATCAGGACTCTTGGTATATATATGTCTATATACAACATATACAGATACACACACAACACGCACAAATTATCTCCTCAAGAAGAGGCTAGGGGATGGATGGAGGGCTCTTCTTCAGTCAATATGAAAGTCAACCACCCTGAGGAAGTTCCAAGACTGAACCACAAGGAAAACTTTATTTCATGAATCTATGAAGAAAAAGACCCATTCCAGATGTTTGCTAACACCCTCAGGCAGAGATGAAAGTATACTAAAAGAAATGCTTGAGGCAGAAAGGCTACATGGCTTCAAAGCGGGAAAGAATTTCCACATACATACCCTACTATACGAATCTCCACCAGCAAAGAAGTGAAATATGAGCAGCTGAAGTGATTCCATTTTAATAAAAAGTAGCGAGCAGACAGAGCAAATGAATGCCCTGATTAAGTAAAGCACAGCTGTCTTGTCTAATGATAGTAGGAAATCAGGTGGCATTTCTATGACTCACGTACACTTGGTATAGCTGTTCCCCTGTACTTTAATCTTCCTGGTGACAACCTTATGAATTACTACTCAAAGGGTTGCTATCTTTTGGAAAGGACTTCATGAGTATGTCTGTAAAATTCAAATGCAAATAAATCCTCAACCTAATATTAATTTAGTGACTCTTTTATTCATTCATTCAACAGGTATTTAATGAGTGCCTACTTTGTGCCAGGTATTGCTGTAGGTGCTTAAAAAATGAAAGAGGCAATGATCCTTGCCCGTGTGGGACACAAATGTAATAATAAATACACTAGCTAATATGGTAGCCATGTTTGACAGCAGTAAATGCTATGGGAAACATTCAAAGTGCACAGTCAGAGCATGGAAGTGGATTGTGTATAAGCTTCATGGTTGCAGTGAGCTTTGAGCAAACACTTGGGGAAGATAAAAAGATAACTATGCTGCTATCTTGAGGTAAAGAACTTTTATTAAGTTACAGCTGGCACATAGGCCACCAAGACAGGTGCATGTTTGGTCTGTTCAAGAAACAGCAGGGGAATCCTGAAAAAGTTAAAACACATAACTAGTATGTTGTTGTAGTTTTAAGTGCTGTCAAGTTGGTTCTGACCCATAGTGACTCTGTATAAGGTTTCCAAGGAGTGGCTGATAAGTTTGAACCACTGACCTTCAAGTTCCAACTGATCTTGCAGTGGAGTGCTTATCCTACAGCGCCACACCAGGATATGACCCAGCAATTACACTACCAGAAACATGCCACAAAAAATTGAAAGCAGGGACTTAAACAGATACTGGTACACCAATGTTCACTGCGGCATTGTTCACAAAAACCAAAAGGCAGGAACCATCTCAACGTCTATCAACTCATGAATGGTGGTGGTTATGTGCTGTGGAGTCGGTTCCGGCTCATACTGACTCTGAGTAGGGTTTCCAAGGCTGTAAATCTTTCAGGAGCAGAAAGCCTCAACTTTCTCAGGCGAAACAGCTGTAATTTCAGCTGCTGACCTTGAGGCTAGCAGCCAGACTCATAACCACTACACTACCAGAGTTCCTTATCATATATATACAATGGAATATTATTTCAACACAAAAAGAAAGTTCTAATACATGATACAGCATGAATGAACTTAGAAAATACTATGCTAAGTGAAAGAAGTCAGCTACAAAGGACAAATACTATGAGCGCATAGAGACAGAAAGTTACTGCAAGCTAAAGGAGAGAGAAATGGGGAGTTACTGCTTAAAGTGTACAGAGTTCTGTTGGGAGGGGTGAAAAAGTTTTGGAAATACACAGTGGTGATGGTTTCACAAAATTGTACTGGTGTGATTAATGCCACTTGAAAACAGGTCACACAACTGAAGACTGAAAATGACAAATCTATGGTGTGTATATTTCACCAAAACAAAGAGAGAAATGGCAGGAGTAAGAGATAGACAGAGGGTCGTACAAACCGTTGTTCACTGCGGCTTCTACTATGAATGAAATACAGAGCGCAGACAAGATTCTGAGCAAAGGAGTGGCATGCTTTGACTTAGTATTTAAATGATCACTTTGTGATTATAGAGAAAGCAGAAGAAAAAGGAGCAAGGGTGGAAGCAGGGAGACCAGTTAGTAAGAGGGTGAGATGTTGAAGGTAACAGGAAACACGGTACACAAGGTCACACTGATCACAGGTGAGGAGATCATGCTGAACCCTCTACATAATAAATCCCTAAATTTCTTGGACTAATTAAAACTGTCTCTTATCTGTTATATGAAGATCACCTGATGGGTTACACTTGCTTCCAAACAATTTCTTGATGTTTCTTGTTGTTGTTGTCAAGTGCCATCGAGTCGTTTCTACCAACCTTGTGGTTCAAACTGACCTTGAGATCCAGTCCTTATCCTATGGTGCCACACCAGGACTCATTAATGGAGAAGACCATAAATAAGAAGCAGACTGTCTGGAGACTACTACTGGCTCTGGACCCAGAGTACTGATGCTTTGTGTTGTTAAGGTGGTGCCAACTCAGAGAGACCCTGCACAGGGCTTCTGAGGCTGTAAGATTTTACAGAGCAGAAAGCCTCATCTTTTGCCCACAGAGCAGCTGGTGGATTCAAACTGCTGCCTTTATGGTTAGCAGTTCAATGTGTAACCCATTACGCTACCAGGGCTCCTTCTCTGGACTAAGATTTTGTCAAAATGAAGAACATCATTTTTATTCGTTCCAATTTAAAGAACAAGGCATACGAGCAATTTTGCAGCTGTCCTCTAAGTTTCTATTATTGACTAATGTCCCTGAACTGGGGGTAAGTAGAGAGTGTACATTGAACTGAAGACAAAAGAAAACCGAAATAGGAAAGGAAACGTAAGCCAATGCTACTGTAACATACACAATGGCATAAACATGAGAAATTAAGAATGTAGAAATCTCGAGCAACATTCATTACCAATATATCTACTTAGCATATAATTTTTATAATCCTCTATTATATTAAGAGGGCTACACTAAAACCAAAATATTTCCGCTAAGCACTCTTACCTAGAGAACATGTGCGTACAGCAATAGGAACTGACTGTGGACGCCGTGGCACAGACTATGCCCTGTGCCACCATCTGTGTCCTGCATAACCTTTTGAATGCATGACCTTTAAGTTGCTGAAGGTTGCCTCAGAATTTGGCTCAGTTTGATCGAAACATCTGTTCTCCTTGCAGGTAAACGTTAAGGATTTTTTTTCTCAGTTGGATTCAGAACACAGCAAGTGAGCCCTTGTCTGTCCAATCATACAGACCCCAACCCTTGTAAATCAAGTTCTGGGAGGACAACAGCAGGTCCACATTCCATCACCCTTTCCCAGCCAGTAGGCCAACTGACTGCTGTGAGAACTGCTCTTACCATGTCATCAAATCAGAGCATGGTGAGAAGAGGGACTAGAAGAGGCATCTGCAGAATTCCCCAAATGGAGTGACTTTGGAACATTGACAGATGCATCTGTCATCTTCTACCTTCAACTAACCTGATGCCCACTGGCCCGGCACAGAAGAGCTGTCCAAGATCGACTCCAATTCTTTCACATTATTTTCACAAGTCTCGACAAGGAAGGCCTGGTGCTTCTTAGCCTTTTTAATTAAGAAAACAAAAATTACATATTAGGTCAAGTATTATAAGAGCTACAGATTTTCTGTGTTTGGATTTGTACAATACAATTGAGTATAAACAAGTTAACAATCACTCTATTCAAACATAGTATTAATAAATCTTTCTGTATTAATCACAGCTTTTACTTGGCTTAATGTAATAATGTGCAAAGTCTCATTAGCAATTTACTGAGAGCTTGCCTAGTGCCTGGCATTATTCAAAATATTTTTTATATAGTAGGTATTTCTATCCTTATAACAATCCCATAAGAGAAGCGCTATTATTATTATCTTGATTTTACAGAATAGAAAACAGACACCGAGTAATTAAAGACGACATTAAAAGATGATGCTTCCAGTTGTGTGGCAAGTTGTCAGATGGTTGTCAAAAGTGAAAGCAGTAGGACCAATCAGAAGGTACTGTAGCCGTCTACTCAAGAAGGAACTGCAAGAAAGCTTGTAAGCCCGTCTTCAGCCTATAACTGACTGGAATACCTAAAAGGGGTTCTAGAGCTTGCCCAGTGAAATAGGCTTCTTGCAGAGACTTTGTAGTGTATAGGACTTTAGGTGGAATCCTGAGCCCCATCCAGAACCTTCTGAGGTGGAACATTCCCACTAGAAAGAACAAGCAGACCAGCCTGGAACAGCTAGAGTAACAGAAGAAACATCTTCAAATAAATATCTGCAGGGAAAACCCTAAACAAAAATGGGAGTATGGTTGGCTACTACAAGAATAAGCAAGTTAATTGCTGGGAAGTCATAAAGGCAAGCAATCAAGTCCCTTCAGGACAAACCCCTCTCCAAGACTGAAACTCAAACTGAGAACATGAGCAGGCATGTAAACTTGCTGGTGACCACAATTTGCTGGAAGAGGAAGAAAGGCAGCAATGAAGAAATGGGCTGAATTCAACCACACTCCATAGACTCCCATTGACCTTGAGAAGAGAGAGAGAAGAGGAAGAACTGGTTGGTCCAAAGTGTGGTGAGACCTGAGGACTCCTAAGCCCATGCACAAGGACATAACCACAGAAGGCTAGAGCTGAGAGTGAAGCATCCAGCTGATATGAAGTGAGGGGAGATGCACAAGAACACCCAAACTTGTAGATAGCACCCATTTGACCTAGCCTTGATGTCTTGATAATTAGAACTCAACTAGAAGAAGATTTAAAAAAAACAAAATTTTTTTTGATAAAGGAAATAAGGGTAATTCAAACAATTTGATTAACTTGACCTATACTCATGGAAGTAGTAGCTCAAAATACCAACTGAGAGGGAAGGAGTATTCATATCAAGTATTAATCCTATCCCCTATGTATACAGTGTAGATAAGGATGGGCAATTTAGACACTGGCTACCTAAAATGAGGTAGTGATAAAGGCATGAAGTGACCTGCTTACAAGTTTTCAAGAGGAAGTTTAGTTTAGTTTAAGAGTGTGCAGGGGAAAATAGAGCATCCACTGAATAGTTTTCATCTTGTCTAGATGGGTCTTGTCTAGAGATGGAGATAAGATTAGTCATCATGAGTAATTGTGACTGTCACAACTGCAAAGGTACAAGTTTTGTAACAAAAAAGGGGGAATAGTTAATCTTACAGTCCAGAAACAGAGGACCCCAGGACCACCAAGGGAGAAGAGCACAAGAGGAAAGCAGGACCCTATCCAGAGAAGCAGCAACACCAGAGATGGAGGGAGAGATAAAGACATGGAAAGAGGGTGAAGCTGAGGACTCTAGACTCATGGAAAGAGAGACACTGAGTACTGGCGGCCAGGAGGCAGGCTTTCAGAATGTGCCCTTGCATTGTTTAAATGATTATATATTCCTGAGTGTTTTTGTGTATATCTCCCTACCCCACCCCATCCCACCCCACCCCACACCCCAAAAAAAAAACTGAGGGAATGGAAGCAAATACTGTTGAATGATGATGTACCAAGGAAATTGTAATCATTACAATGAAACAATGGTGTAAAACCAATGTCTTCCCATGTAACTATCACTTAATTCACAATAAGAAGAAGAAAAAAGAAGTGACTGCAAGCAGAGAAACGGGGATGGGGGATGACTGCTCTGGAAAGATACTTAGAGAGTAGAATGGCCAGACTTTGGTAATGTTACATTGGATTTGACTGCATGGACTGGATTAAGTTGAAATGGAATGAGATGGATTGGACTGCGCTGAATTGGACTGGATTGGAATGGATTAGATTAAATTGTGTTGAATGAGGTTGTTGTTGTTAGGTGCCATCGAGTCGGTACCAACCCATAGCAACCTTATGCACAGCAGAACGAAACACTGCCCAATCCTGGGCCAACCTCACTACTTTTGCCACGCTTGAGTCCATCGATGCTGTCACTTGGCAAATCCATCTCGTTGGGGGTCTTCCTCTCTTTCTCTTACCCTCCACCTTACCAAACATGATGTCCTTCTCCAGCGACTGGTTCCTCTTAACAATATGTCCAAAGTATGAGAGATGAGGTTTGACCATCTTGGCCTCCAAGGAGTACTCTGCACTTCTTCCAAAACGGATCTGTTGGTTCTTTTGGCAGCCCATGACACTTTCAATATTCTCCTCCAACACCATAACTCAAAAGCATCAATTCTTCTACAGTCTTCCTTAGTCACTGTCCAGCTTTCACATGCATATGAAGTTATTGAAAATACTATAGTGTGGGTCAGGCATACCATAGTCCTCAAGCTGACATCTTTGCTCTTCAACACTTTAAAAAGGTCTTGTGCAGCAGATTTGCCTAATGCAATACGTCGTTTGACTTCTTGATTGCTGCTTCTATGAGTGTTGATAGTTGATCCAAGAAGAATGAAGTCCTTGACAACTTCAATCTTTTCTCCGTTGATAAGAATGTTGTTTATTGTTCCAGTGGTGAGGAGTTTTGTTTTCTTTACATTAAGATGTAATCCATACCAAAGGCTGGATCATCAGTAAATGTTTTAAGCCTTCTTCACTTTCAGCAAGCAAGAATGAGGTTGTTGTTGTTGTTAACTGCCATTGAGTCGGTTCCGACCCATAGCGATCCTGTACAGGGTTTCTGAGGCTATAAATCTTTACAGAAGTAGAAAGCCTCATCTTTCTCCCTTGGATCAGCGGCTGGTAGTTTCAAACTGCTGACCTTAAGGTTCACAACCTAATTCGTAACCACTATGCTACCAGAGGTAGAAGTGGTCAAATAAAAGGAAGAATCAAGGCTGATTCAAAGATTTTAGGCTAGAAGCTATTTTTTGTTGTTGTTGTTGTTGTTGTTGTTGTTGTTGTTAAGTGCCATGGAATCAGTTCCAACTCTTATCAACCCTTTGTACGGTTTCCAAGAAGCAGCTGGTGGGTTTGAACTGCTGACCTACAGTCCAGTGCATTATCCTGTAGTGTCACACCAGTAAGAACTGAGTAGATATTACTAGTTAGATGAAAACGATAGTGTTAGAAAAGATGATTTTGCTGTTTTTATTTATTTACTTGCTTGTTTGCTTTTGGCTAGGACTATGAAACGTACATTGTATTTTGATTATATTCCATTAGAAATACTTATAAGACTTCCCCAGAACAAGCACAATGACTAGAAAAAAAAACAGACCCTCAATATATGTCTTTGTATGAACAAACAACAAAGTAGATAAATATGAGCTACATACTTGGAACCAACTTAATACAAAGATTCAACTAAATTCCTATTTCAACAACAATTCTTCTCATTCAATATAGGACTCAATCCTGACTAAATTACTGAGCTGGTACGGCACTGCAGGATAAAGGACTGGACTGCAAGGCTGGCTTGAACCACAGGTCAGGGGTTCAAACCCACTAGCCGCTCCTCAGAAACCCTATACAAGGTCACTGAGAGTCAGAAACCAACTTGATGGTACTTAACAACAACAACATGCAATCACAGCTGTTCCCTTACACCATGTGATTTATGATTTTGCTCATTCAGTCTTCCCATGAACTCCTGGTCTGGTTAGCCTATAAGCATATAAGCACGGCACACTGGTTCAACCTTAAACTTAAATCATCCCAGTCATTCCAAAAATCACATTCTTTCAAATCCAAGCAATGAAATATTTAAATTTAGATTTAGGTCAGAGATGTAGCCTATCACTATTTGCCAGGAGAATAAAAGAGACTGGCTAGGATCTATAATAGGATATCTTGTTTTTAATTCCAATTTACACAAGCCAGTCTAAACGGTACCTTTAGATACCATTTTGGTTCGAGGGTTCCTTTGGACCAGTATAAATAATACTGTATAAATAACAATAATAATATCAGTATAAATAATAATCTTTGGAAACTTAACCAGCTAAAAAGTATGAGGGTAAATAAAAAAATAGTCCTACGTTGGTTCCAGTTCCTACATACCTGTGTTTATTCCAAACAAAATATGCTTAAACATGTCTCTGGGAACAGTGGATGGCTGCAGATAAATTCCCTCAGTAACACATTTACTGTCTTAGTAGAGGATCTTCAAATTAAAGGTCCAAGCAAAACAGTGGCTTCTGAGGGGAAGCCTGGGACATTTTAGTTCAAAGCAGAGTTTTTCTTGAAAGGTTATGGAGATTTTTTAAGGATCCCCAAGGGATAATCTTGATAAATTTTCTCAAGGACACAGAACAATCAAAGAGGCATATTAGGAAAAAGTTTTAAGAGAATGGAAAACTGCATTGGTGAGAAAAAAGCCAGGAAAGTCACGCCAAAAAGAACTTTTTTTCCCCCTATCACAACAGTGCACCTACTTATTCTTCAAGGGTCGCAAGGGTTGTCCTAAGAATCGTTAAAAAACCTTCCTCCATCCAGCCTATAGCCCTGACCTTGCCTCTTTAGGTTTCTTTTTCTTTCCAAAACTCAAAAACATTTAAAAGAAATGTGATTTGAAT